TTAGAATTTTGACAGACTTAAACATCTGGAAACATTTTCACGGACAGATTCTGTGAAGTCTGTAAATGTAAATGTCAATAATCGCCGTATTCTCGTTTCGCTCCCATACTAGTGTTTAACAGACAATATAGAATCCCATACAGTCGTTCCAATAAAACGTCCTTGGATTCGTAGAGAGATTAGACGATGTGAGAGAGAGAGAGAGGGAGGGAAAAAAGCAGTAAGATTAAAAGTGAACATTTGTTTTGTGTACTGTATGCCGCTCGCTGCCAAAAGCCAGTAATTTTGGATGAATCTAAAACAGCTTTCCTGGCGCTGTCCCCACTTCACGCCTCCTGCCCGGAAAGACTTTTTTCACCTGTTTATATGCAGGTAAAGTATACTCTACAGAGTGTCCCCGAATGAGGTGTGTGGACCACAGGGGCTGAAACAGGTAGACAAGACCTGTGTGACTGCAAGCAACTTCTGACATGCCTGTAAAATACGAGAGTCTGCATGCTATTCCACACTAACCTGTGCGAATCAACTGCGTCACCGGCAGCCAGTGACAGACGCACACCTCAGCAGACAGTATTTCACTTGTTTTGTAAATAGGACGACTTTTATATTGTTTGCTTCAAAGAGAAAACCGGACTGCCTTGAGCTAAATGACGTGAGATGTTCGGTCAAAATCCGTTGCGTTTGCCAGCATTAGTAAACACAAACACATTTGTATGCAGTGTTTTTTTTGCAATACACATCTGAAGCAAATCAAATGCACAGTTAGAAATACCTACGTAACGTTTAGTCTGTTTGCATCCTGTACTCTGATGTATTTCTGAGGGAACATCTAAGAGAAATAAAAAAGTAGGGCACTATCAATTCATCTTAGATAAAATCACGTCTACGTTTTTGGTGGTGGTTTTGTATCCTATTTAATTGAGAAATATGTTTATTTTAATACAAAAATATTTGACTACAGAATCCCGTGACTGACCAATCACAATCCAGCATTCCATAGAGCCGCATAATAATAAAGAGCTGCAGAGATGATGTATATTTGTAGGTGAAAACTTGAAAACGAGTTGCAGTTAAGCACTTCCGTTTCCCTTAATGGGTTTTCTGAATGGGTTTTTGCTTAAATTCCTGAAATAAGCTGAAGATATAGTTTCACTTTTCATTCTATGACATAAAATTCATCAGTGATAATACCCCACTGCATTTTTTAAGCTTTTGCTTGTCTTGAAAAAAGGTGATTGCTCACAAGTGGCTAAATGGGGACTATAGACCCAGCTAACAAAAATATGTTTTACTAACGTTCCCATGTAGTTATAAAAACGTTATCCTGAATGTTCTCTGAACATTTAAAACGACCAGTTTTTAAAAGTTTTAAAAGGTTTTTTCTTGGTTACATATTCCATTCTGTTCAAACATTATTGGAATGTTTGAATGTTCCCTGAACATTCCGAAACAAGTAGTTACATTTAAAAAATGGCACACAAACTAATGTATAAATAATGTTTTTATGCTAACATTTTGAGAACATCATTAAAGACAGGATAACTTTAACATTACCGGCAGAAAGTTTTTATAACTTTAAGAGAACGTTCTGAGAACATTCCCTGTTAGCTTGGAAACTCATTTAATTACTAGTCGCTTTCACATTTTCTGCATCCCAAATGGCACACTATACACTATGCACTCATACACTATGTACTTATGCACTATGTATATGACAGTTGGGTGCATGAAGTGTCCAACATTCCACACTTAATTTTTTCGGCATCATCCAGGTATTTAAAGTGCACTTTTTCTTTTTGGAATTTTCAGTGTGAACACACTATTCGCACTATTTATACTACAAAACGTCATAGAATAGTGCATAAGTACATGATTTGGAACGCACCTAACTATTCCAACTTGGACTTTCAGGTAAAATGTTTTTAAATAAAGACTGAAAGAGTTGACGAAGCTTAATGTGGTGGCGATGAAGTCATGTGACCATTGTGTAGTCCTACATTGAACTTTTTACTTCTGCCGAATGTATTTGGGCTTCAAAATACAAAAAGCCAATGGAAAAATCCAATTGGGATTTTGTTCCGAGCTGGCCCGAAAAAATACGTCATCACTGCAGCGCTCTATTGGTTAATTAGCAAGAGGATGTGAGAATTGTGGTTGATTGAATGAATGAGATAATGAGCGACTACAGGATAGAGAGAGAGACAGAGACGAGAAGAGGCTCGTTCTGGATGAGTAACACACCGAACACATCAGCTGGGAGGAATTCCTTGGGTTCTCTGCGTGAGTCTGTGGGCGGGACGAACACTAATGTAAAAGACAGCTGTGAAAATCAGTTAATCTGCAGAGAAGCCGTAATGAGTCACCCTTCTGGGAAAGAGGACGTCCGATGAGTGCAGATGTGACAGGCGGATGGACCTTTGCTTTAACACCTAAAAACTGCCAGCGTCCACAGACGAAAATAGCACGCCAATTAATTTAGAGTGATATTAATAAATACAGACCTCTTTTAACCATTATCCCAAAAGTAATCATTTGCATTCATCTACTCACACTTGTGTCATTCTAAAACCATTTGGTCAAAAATGAATGAAAAAATTATCACAATTTGTGATAGACGTGAAAGAAACCGTGTCAAACTTGACGTGACGCGTCTTGATTTGCAAAGTTTGAAGATCACACATGAATCAGTGTTATTTTACTATTTTATAGTTTGTTCATATTTTTGATTAGATTTTATTCTTATATTTTTGTGTTTTGGCTTTAATTTTAGTAAAAAAAAATTTAAAGTTTTTGTCATTTTTAGTTGTTTATATGTTTTTGTTTACATATGTCTATAAAGAATTTATTAATTGGTATTTATATAATTAGTTAGTACTTTAAATTAAATTAAACAAAAATGAGACAAGTTGCCTTTGCTGAAATAAAATAAGTTAAAATAAGTTTACAAATTTTTATTTATTTATATAGATTTTTTTTTTACTTTTTTTAAAAACCTTTTTATTATTTCATTTATTTCTTTTTTATTCATTTCATGTAATGAATTTTTTATGGTTTTAGTTAACAAATGATATTTGACAGTGTCAAATATACTGTTGGAGGAAGTCCATATTCATATTGTATCTATGAATGTTATTTAACGTATAGAAAATATCATAATCCTGCATCATAACTCAATGCTCCTGGATTATTGCCGCTTCTTTTATGAGCTTCTCATATTAGACGTTACTAATTAAACTAGGAAGAGAGAATAACAGTAAATAGTTGATGGTAGCCATTGACTTCCATAAGAATATCTTCTTATGTGTTCAACAGAAGATAGAAACTCATACAGGTTTGAAACAGGTTTTATTTTTGGCTGAACTAACCCATTAAGTGTGGTGGTCTTCTTCAGCTAACCTGTTAAACTTGAGAACTCTGAATGGAAAATTCAGTGAAGAATGAGACGTTCATGTGTTTCTGATCTGGGCTGCCGGGGGCCTAAATATCCACCGTCACACATATACATTTGATAAAAAATGGAAAGTTACATGCAAAAAAGAATGTGCTGCTCCAGAAATCTGCTGACTGCCAGGCGCTCACGGCCGGCCAAAGCAAAAGATCAGGGAGTGCAGAAAACGTCTTACGAGAGCTTACGTGTTTCTGAAATCTGGCACCAACAATAGCCTTCAGTTAGTGTTCAACACACACATGCACACACACACACACACACACACACCTGCACCAGATATCAAACTACATCACCTGAGGAGGTTTACAGCACACATGACTTCCTACTAACACAAAATGACAGCTAACTGACTCTCAAAAGAAAAGGAGATCACAAACCTAGAGGATAAAGGTATTGCTCAGAGTAATTGCTTATCAGTAGACTCATTTAATATTGTTAAGAGGAAAAAAAAATTCGGACTAAACTGAAAAAAGTTTTGGTGTAGGATTTCTTGGAAACAAATTTCACTCAGAAATGTATAGTAAATTTCACAAGTCACACTGAAATGTTGCAGTTTGTAAGGCTGAAAAAGTATTTTCTTTTAAAACATACTCCAACAATATTTCTTTTATTTAGAATATATGTATATATATATTGCTTAATGACTGATGTTTTAGTGATTTTGAGTGGATAGAAGTTTGAAACAAGTTTGTTTTATTTTCAAAACAAGTGTTCTGCTCACCAAGGGTGCATTTATTTGATCAAAATACAATAAAAACAGTAAAATTTTGAAAAATTATTCCAATTTAAAATAACTGTTTTCTATGTGAAAATATTGTAAAATGTAATTTATTCCTGTGATCAAACTTGAATTTTCAGCATCATTGCAGCATGAACCTTCAGAAATCATTCTAATATAATATCAACCGAAAAGTCGTTTGAGATTATGCTGGTGTTTATGAAGTTAAACATACTTTAAGAATAACATCCGCAAATCTTTTTAGATTTTATGTTGACTTTAAAATAATTGCCCCTTGCTTTGATATGTGATCTATTGATAAAGCATATGACTGAAGTATGTGAATGTGATTTGGATTTACTCACTTTTAGAACTTTTTAATTGGAGAAAATGGCCTGAATTTCTACAGAAACCTTTCTAGTACTTTGCTGCCACTGTTTTGCCACATCTGTCTCTCTCTCTCTCATGTAAACAGAAGAGTTGACTCCTTATATACGGGCAGAGACTCCCAGCCGTCACCTCCCCTCTCCTCCCACTTGCTGTTTTACCTCTCCTCCCTCTCTCTCTCAACCTGCACAGACAGTTCTGAAACTTTCCCATCACAGTGTTGGTGGGTTCATCTGACTCCTCTGTAACAGAGCAGAGTCAGTCAGTGCGGGACAGACCACCTGGAAAACACACACTCGTTCACCTCACGCTGGATTCCCGTTTGCTGTGGTCTTGTTACTTCAGACAAGATCATCTCAGAGAAAGTGAAGGACGTAATGCTGAAGGACGCGTTCACCTGGACCGACCGCAGCGCTCATTGATTTGTTTGTTTGTGTTTGATCGCAGCCTGGAAACTTTGAGGAGACTCGCGCTCTGTCTGACAGGACAGAAGAGACGGAGACACAGGCATCATTGTGAGTATGTTTCTCTTCTGTTGCTCATCATGGGCTTTTGTTGTGGCTCAGAGGACTTGCTGGAATTCGGCTTTTCTCTCCAACATGTTGAACTGGTTTAAGTTAAAGCTGCTGTCTCTTCTTCAGCATGGGGTGGGAGAAAACACTCCTACAAATAAAGCTTCTTTATTGGCATTGATGGGTGCATGAAGAGCATTCATGAAGCATTTGGAGCATTTGCATTGCACAAAATGTTCTTTATAGAAGAAAAGGGATGTTAAAATTAATTTAAAAAATGGTTTTTATACCCTCTGGTGCTCTTTGGTCATTTTTTTGACCAAAAGATTTTATGTTTTGGGGTTTTTTTAAGATTTTTTTTTTTTTAATGGTTTGGAATCTTGGTTTTTGGCACTTGTTATGTGAACAAACACACAAAAGTCATATACATGATTCGAAAAAGGTTAAATGGTCCTGAAAAAAGCCACCTCGCAGTCAAAAATGACCGCATTGGAAAATAAATGAATTTCATCTAGTGGAATCGTTTGGTACTGCGCCCAAACTAAATCTCACTAAAAGCTCGTTTTTTGAGATATCAACTTTAAATTTGGAACACAACTTGTTTAGATTTATGGCTTTTATTTTCTCACAGTTTTGGGAAATATATAGTTCATATTAATTTTGAAAATAGTATTTTTGTGCAATTTTCATTTTCAATTGCAATTTTCAATTTTCATCAAATTTTCAATTTTCAACTACTATAACTTTTTTCCAAATTTTTTTTTTTTACTTTTTCCACCTTAGCGATAATCTGCCAAGTGCCTTCATTAAAAAGAGACCAAACATAAGTCTGTGCTCCAAAGCATTCAATATTTACAACTGTTTAAGTTGGAACTTTAATTTTCAGGTCTATGCTCAAAAAGTGGTAAACAGATAATAAAGAAACTATCATTTTTGACCTCCATGTGAGGAGCACCAGAGGGTTAAGAACTGTTCACTGAAAGGTTCTTTAGGGAACCAGACAGAAATGGTTCTTCTGTAACAGAAACCTCTATTTCTAAGAGTGTATTTAGTCATTTAAAGGCTGCACTGTATGATTGAACAAATTCACCTACATCATCACAAGAATGAGTTAAATTACACTTAGGAGAAGTGAACAGAACATGCACATCAGAATACCTTGCTGATCTTCATGTGTGTAATGTGTGTGTGTGTGTGTGTGTTTGCTCAGGTCCAGTGAGGATGAGGACGTTATACTCTAGATGGGTTCTGCAGCGGTGGTTCTTTGCTCTCTTCTTACTGTGCTCTCCTGTTCCGCACCACGGCAGGCCCGTCGATGCCCTCAGCAGCCGAATGTAAGTGTTTTGGGGCTTAATCACCAAAATGTTTTGCTAAAACATAAATGTTACTGTTGCTCTTAGAGTTAGTGATTTGAGCAGACCTCTAACTCTGAGTGTTAAACTTGAGAATGCCGTTCATCTGCACTGTTCGTGCAATAGACATGTGTCTTTTTGAAGAGAAGTCAAGTCACTTTTACTTATATGGCATTTTATACAATACAGACTGTTTCAAAGCAGCTTCGCAGTAATAAGCAGGAAAAATAACAGTGGTAATGTTGCCAAATCAATCAGTTATGAAACAAATTCAATTTCTAAGACAATAGTGTCATTATTCAACACTTATTCAACTTTAGTTCAATGTTGATTCAGTTTAGTTCAATAATTGATTCAGTTTAGTTGATTCAGTTTAGTAAAATCCATCAATTATGAAACAAATTCAATTCCTCTATAAAGCTGCTCAACACAATTCAGTTCAAGGTTTACTCAATTCTGTTCAAAACACTGTGTGTTGCAGAATCATTCATCAATTATGAAACAAATTCAATTTTTTAAAAGACAAATGTTATTATTTAACTCAATTCAGATTCAGTGTGGTTTCAGTTCAGTTCAGTTCAGTTCAGTGACAGTGTTGTTACCAACTTCTTCAATTATGAAACAAATTTAATTTCAGAAGACAATAGTGTCATTATTCAATTAATTCTCATTTAAGTGTTGCTTCAATACGGTTCAATAACAGTCTTGCAAAATTCACCAATTATGAAATAAATTCAATTTCAGAAAACAATAGTGTCATTATTCAGCACAGTTTATTTCAATGCCAATTTAATTAAGTTTAATAACAGTGTCAATGTAGTAAAATTGATCACTTATGAAACATTCAATTCTGCAATAGGTAAAGCAGCTCTACAAAAGTCATAATTCAGCTCAATTAAGTCCAGCGTTGATTCAGTTCAGTTAAAAAACTGCGTCAGTGTGGTACAATTAATCAATTATGAAACTAATTCAATTCTAGAGCACAATAGTATCGTTATTCAATTCAGTTTTGTTCAATGTTAATTCAGTTCAGTTCAATAATAGTGCCATTGTTGTAAAATTCACCAATTATGAAACAAATTAAATTTCAGAAGACAATAATATCATTATTCAATTCAATTTAGTTCAAAGTTGATTCAGTTCACTTCAATATTCAATAATAGTGATCAAACGTCTGATTTTTGCCTGGCGGTTGATAAAGCGGGTAAAAATGTAACTTAGTCAAGCTTATCTAGAGATCAGATTCTCACAGGATGGACTCTTTTCATGCCAAATAAGAAACAACCGCCTGTTGCATTGCATTGCACGCGTGCATGTTCTGAAGTGAATGTATAAATCTAGAGATTGTTGTTGTGTGTGTGGCGTTTGGCAGTAACGTGCTGGAAAATGCTCCGGTTTGTCGATCGTGCTGGGAGGTGTTTTGATAGTCAGCGCCCACCTGCGTGTTTGCTCAGGGGTTGAGGGCGAGCGGGACGAGGGGCTCTAGGGACGACGCTTGGCGGGCCACCTGCTGCACGTACAGAGATGCTTTTGTGACAGACGCTGTCCTCTGATAGCGAGGCACGAGAGAGAGGCGTAGAGCGAGAGAGAGATTGCTGATGCAAAGTTCGGCCACAGCCCAAGTCAAACGGGCCTCTCCCGCTGGAGTATATTATGCCGAGCCGAGCAAACGTGCTTTTATGTCCTGTGAACCCCTTAACAGGGCCCAGAATGCAAAACATGCTTCCACGGAGCTTTGGAAAGCCGCGCTCCCCCCCGCTGTCTGCGATCCGCCTGCGCCTGCCAGGACCTCCCTAACTTCATATCGGCTTTTAATGATGTGAGCGTGTGGGTTTGTGAGACATCGTTCGCCTGTCGTCTGCTGGTTGTTGTGCAGATTGTGCCAGAGACACACACACTTTGCTTTGATCCACATGCAATGACTGTGACGTTTTGTGCATGTTTGGGTGGGTTTACTTTAGAAACATTAGCTATAGGCTATACACATAAAAAACTTTCAAAAATAAAAGTTTTAATAATGTAATGCAATTGCAATGTCCCTGCATGAGCTAAAATGAATAAATTAAAATGCAAATCCAAAAAGCTTTTATTTGGAGTTAAATTAGTTGCTTTATATAAATGCAATAAACACTTTTAGACTTCTAGGGTGATTTGAGACACTAATGCAATGACTGTGATGTTTTTATGCACATTATAGCATGTTTTATGGGTTTCCTTCAGAAACATTTGCTATATGCACATCAAAATAAAAATAAAGTAAATAATGTTTTAATAATGCAATGCAATTGCAATGTGACTGATTTAAATGTGCATAAAAGCATTATGTAAATGAATAAATGAAAATTAAAATATAAATACAAAAAGCTTTTATTTGTAGAGTTAAATTAGTTGCTTTATGTAAATGCAACCTGCCCTTTGGTTTTGATCCTGTAGGGTGATTTGAGAAACAAATGCAATGACTGTCATGTTTTGTGCACATTATAGCACGTTTTTGTGGATTTACATTAGAAACGGTTGCTTTGTGCACATAAAAATATTCAAAAATAAAGCAAATAGTGCTTTAATAGTGCATTGCAATTGCAATGCCCATGATTTGCATGTCACTCTGGATAAAGTGCTAAGGCTTTCATTTAAAGTTAAATTATTTGCTTTATATAGTGCAATATAAGTCTATTGTTTGTCTTTATTTAGTTATCTAGGTAAATGTATATTTATATTAGTATATAGTAAGTTGTTTTAAATAATAAGGAGATTTTAAAGGTCTGGAAGACAGCGGCCACACACCAGTTAATAGATGATGAATTAGTTATTAAAACTATTATTCACTTAATTTGACCGTTGCTGTATAAAATGAGATGAAGTGTGTGATTGCTACTGTAATTCGTCAAAAATACACCTTTTTGCCACGAGGTTTAAAAACACATGATGATTTCTGATCCGTAAGCAAGTAAATGTCAGTGAGGTATGAGCGTAACAGGGTTAGGCCTTAAGTTCGGTGTGATTTGATGATGTTTTGGCCTGTTGCTCTGATTAAACCTCTCCTAGGATGAGCTGCGCTTTGTTCGAAGGACAAAGTATCGCATGAATCCAGCCAGTGGCCAAACAACACAAGTTCTTCTTTCAGCAGCGCTCACTTTAGCGCTTTGATCGCAGTGATCTCACGGCACATCAGAAAGGGCGTTCACCCTTTATAACTAGCTAATGCTGACAAGTCCATCTGCCGTCCAGGACAATGCCTCCTACTGGAGTTTGACTTGAACCCGAGCCAGCTGCGCCTGCGAAGATGAAACGCACGGAGCCGGAGATCTTTCAGACCGCATGCATCGCGGATGAGGGTGAAAGCAGGTCTCGCTCTCTCTCTCTTGGCCTGTTTTTTAAATTAAAGCAGCACAAAGCAGCAATTATCTTCAGGTATGCTAAAAAGGAACAGCTGGAAGGATGCCACGCTAAGAGTTTTCCCTCCCGCTCGCTTTAGTGCTCCTCGTGTAGTGTTTAAACTCAACTAAAACGAGTACAAGCGAAAAAAACAAGCTTTTGAACATTCATGAAACCTGTTTGAATCAGTTTCTACAGGATGAAAAAACATAATTCTTATATAAACCTCAAAACATGTTCACCAGTCCACCTGTATTGAGCAAAACAGATAAATGGATGGACAAGCAGATGATAGATAGGTCAACTAAAACGAGTACAAGCGAAAAAAACAAGCTTTTGAACATTCATGAAACCTGTTTGAATTAGTTTCTACAGGATGAAAAAACATAATTCTTATATAAACCTCAAAACATGTTCACCAGTCCACCTGTATTGAGCAAAACAGATAAATGGATGGACAAGCAGATGATAGATAGATAGATAGATAGATAGATAGATAGATATGGTGTAAGCGTCTGTCCCGAGCCGAGTCTCTCCTCATTGTCTGCAGACGCTCAGAATCTGGCATTTGGGCTTTCATGGGAAAGGTTTGCTCTCTCAGGACGTTCCTCGCTCGTAAATCTGTCCCAGTACATTAAGAAAATAATAAGAGGTGACAGAGAAGAGGAGAACACAAGCTGCCAGGAGGCGCAGTGTTATATAGGAGCCACCGGAGAGGAATAAAGCCACTTTCCAAAGAAAGGAAAACTCATCGTTCCATGGCCTGGCAAGCAATGATCTCACGGATGGGTTTAACCAGCCTGGAGACAAGGGCTGTTTGTGTGCGGCGGGTTCAGATGCTCCAGAAGATGAAGAACAGAGCCTCATTTACCTGTTTGAACAGACACACGATCACCTGAGCTTCAGACTGAGATGCAGGCCATGGAGGTCGATTTCTGCCAGGAGACTCATGGAAATGCATTTTTGGTGATTTTTATTCGTGCTCCTAGGCATCAAGGCTGCAACTAAAAACTATACTGATAATCTGATATGATCAATTAATCTGTCAATTATCAAAAGGGCAATTTTATTTGTAGCACCTACAGTTTATCATTTATTTTTAGCACCTATAAGTTATAAGCACAATTTACGGTAAAAAAATATATATTTTTTTGTCGGTGACAGAGAAGAGGAGAACACAAGCTGCCAGGAGGCGCAGTGTTATTTAGGAGCCACAGGAGAGGAATAAAGCCACTTTCCAAAGAAAGGAAAACTCATCGTTCCATGGCTTGGCAAGCAATGATCTCACGGATGGGTTTAACCAGCCTGGAGACAAGGGCTGTTTGTGTGTGGCGGGTTCAGATGCTCCAGAAGATGAAGAACAGAGCGTCATTTACCTGTTTGAACAGACACACGATCACCTGAGCTTCAGACTGAGATGCAGGCCATGGAGGTCGATTTCTGCCAGGAGACTCATGGAAATGCATTTTTGGTGATTTTTATTCGTGCTCCTAGGCATCAAGGCTGCAACTAAAAACTATACTGATAATCTGATATGATCAATTAATCTGTCAATTATCAAAAGGGCAATTTTATTTGTAGCA